TCAGTGACTAACAGACCGGAGATCTGGCACTGCTTTCCTTTTCTCTCACTGATGTGTGCTTGCATCAAGCAAACATACGTATCCAGAAGTTTGTAGGATCTGGGACACATATGCAGCCCTGCTTGGCCTCAGTGTCTTTATCCAGTTAATAAAAATAACAAAACCAGTCATACTAAAACCAATCACGAGCCTAGCAGGGAAGTTATCTCACCAGCCTGGGTCGATTCTGCCGAAGAAAACTCTTCATATCTCCTCCAGCCATAAGCTCAAGCAGGATGAAGCGAGGTAGCGTCTGCAGGCTAACGCCGATGCACTGCACGATATTTTGGTGATTGAACTTGCTGAAAGCCAACATCACAGCACCACAGAGGAGAAAGACAGCATTAGTACCTGGCCGCCATCCATCACACTCACTTGTGCCTTAAGCTTTGACAATCTGGACTGAAGCAAACCCCGGTTCGGTGCAAGTTACCAAACTAATTCCTACTTCAGACACACCGAAATGCCTATCTGATTATGACAGCCCCAAGATCAGGGCTATGCCTGGCTTTGCCCATGAAAAGCTTTCAGCAGAAGGTACAAAAAGCTGAAAGAAAAGAAGAGCCTTCTGTCTGTGAAGAGAGAACCTAATGGACACACTGACTGAAAGATATTAAAGGAAAAAGAAAGCTAAGCACTTCAAAAATGCAAGTAATATCAGCATTTGTGAAACAAAATCCCGACCCATAGGGATTTTATTTGGTTATTTTATATACACTGCTGTCTGTGTTGGTGGACTCAGTTCAGTATCTAGTCTGTCAAAGAGGGACTCAGCTAATACCCACTGCAGCAGCTGCTTCTGTGATGGCTTTCTGCCTCTTACAAAAGACAGCTGAGACTGTCAAGAAGCTCAGTAAGAGTCAGTCATTAGAAAGCAGCATCTTCCTTTCCCATGGAAAGTGATTACCTGGATAATACAGGAACTAAAAATGTAAAGGGAGTTGGGGAAGAGAAAGAGTCATGTGCTACTAAGTGAATCAAAGCACTCTGTAATCAATTGAAGTTGCTCTTTAAAAAGTCATACTTCACTGTTCATTTGCCAAAGTTCTCGTAGACTTTAGGAAGTAGCAATATGTCATGAGATTCATGTCCTAATAGCAGAAAAAATGCACCTAGGTATGAGCTGGACCAGACAATGGGAAGACGAACTTCATGTTGCACAGATGAAAAATGCATAAATTCTGATCACTCACAATCAACCCTGACTATACTCTTATATTAATGTTGCACTTGAGTATGCTATTGTCTTAGGGTTATGTATTTGGGTTAACAAAGTAAATTCCAAGATTGGGATACTTAAAGTACAGGTGGTAATAGGAATGGCTGTCTGTTATCTTTTCCAGGCAGGTTTTATGGATCTTGTAGTTCACTGTCAGAAGGTTGTGCAGCTGACACCTTTTAAAGGTTCTGTCAAGCTTGCAAAGGCATCAAAAAGCCAGAACACATCTCCTAGAACAGCCACTTCTCTTAGAAGGGCTGCGTTCCATCTGTGCAAGCTATGCAGAGCCATATTCACTACCTTATCCCTACAGAGGTTTCAGAGTGTCTCGCTCACCTATATAAGCTCTTACTTCTATTCCCAAGAGGCAATATAGTTGAAGTCTCAGCATCCAGGCCTAAAAAACTTACCTCCCTGGCACACAGCCTGTGTTCTACCAGCTTGGTCTTGCAGAGGCTGAACTTTTGGGTCTCTGCACAGGTGGCTCTAGTCTTTAGCTTTCCTATTGCTTCCCATCACTGAAAATTTGTTTTAGCAAGGGCTTTATGATGTGATTTGTACTTAGTAAAAGGGCAAGGGGATTACTGGAAAAGGAAAACATTTCAAATGTAGAACATTTGTACAAAAATGTGGTGCCTTTTGCTTCTCAGAGCACGAGCAACAGGACTAACAAGCAGAAATTTTTGTTGAGATGTTGTAATGGGTTTGAGTGAGAGGGAGTTAATTTTCTTCCCAGTTGCAGTCTTGGGATTGTTTAGTCTTGAAAAAAGGAGGCTGCAGGGAGACCGAATCATTCTCCAAAACTGCTTGAAAGGAAGTTGTTATGAGATGGGAGTTGGTCTCTTCTCACAAGTAACAAGCAATGGGATGAGAAGAAATGGGCTCAAGTTGTGCCAGGTGAGGCACTCTTTACTGAAAGAGTGGTGAAACATTGGAACAGGCTGCCCAGGGCAGTGGTGGAGTCACCATCCCTGGAGGAGTTCAAAAAACATGTAGACGTGGCACTTGGGGACATGGTTTAGTGGTCATGGTGGTGTCTGGTTGATGATTGGACTTGATTATCTTAGAGATCTTTTCCAACCTTAATGATTCTATGATTTTATGATTCATATGGTGCTACATTTTGGATTTGTGATCAAACTAGTGTTGAAAGGGGATACAGTCGGGACAGCTGACCTCAAATTACCAGAGGGATATCCCGTACTATATGACATCATGCTCAGCCATAAAAGCTGGAGGAAGAAGAAGGAAAGTGGGGACATTCAGAGTGATGGTGTTTGTCTTCTCAAGTACCTGCTGCACATGAGGAAGCCCTGTTTTCCTGGAGATGGCTGTACACCTGCCTGCCCATGGGAAGTACTGAATGAATTCTTTGTATTGCTTTGCTTGTGCATGTAGCTTTTGCTTTACTTGCTCTTTTTTATCTTAAGCCATGAGTTTGTCGCCCTTCTGGTTCTCTTCCCCATGCCACTGCTGCATGGGGCCGAGCAGCTACTGGCATTAAACCTCAACAGATGTGCAACCAAAGAACTTCAGTTACCCTGTCTGAGATGAACAAATAGCTGAAATCGGTAACTCATATACTCCTAAAATGCCATCTGGTGAAAAATAAGGCTGCATTTTGCTTCCAAACCCAAGCAAGTGGAAGAATGATTCTTATTACCAGCATTCTTTTTCCCCCGCCATGCCTACCATCTCTTTAAAACCTTAAACTATACCTGATAATCAATGCTTCCATCAGGAAATCCATCTCATCCTGCTCAGAGCAGACTTCTGGCAGGGTCTGTTGAGAAGTAAAGACAGTGAGGACAATCCCAGCAAAGAATTGAGAACATTTAAGTAACCACCAAAGGAAAAAGTAAAAAAAAAAAAGAAAAGAATGAGCATGTAACATGAACAAATTCGGGAACCTATGAGGAGAGGCTCATCTTCTCACTGTCCAGTTTACTGGACTGCACATGACCCAATTTGATACTTAAAGTTAGAACAGGAAATTGGCGACCTGCCTGGAGATTTTTTTAAGTGCATTTAATTATATGCAGTGTTCTGGAGAAAATAGTTTCAGGTACACGCCAAGAAAGACATCAGGTGGGCAATTACAGATCTAGTAAGCCCTTTAAAATGACAGGCATTAATCTATTCTCCCTTTACTATATGTCCACATGGCAGCACATGTTTCCTTGTCATACAAGACATACAGCCACATGATTTAAATAATTGTGTCACGTGGCCTCATAGCTTTCTCTCCTGCCAGCAGATTTGGGCAGAATCTGCCACTGGTAAAGATGAGCCGAGAGCACAAGCAAAGCCCAGTGCTTTAACACTACGGGATGGTTTGGCCACTGCTGCCAAACTGCACCCAGAGAGGCGGGACGTTCATTGCTCAGTATGGTGAGGCTGGCATGGAAACAGTTCTTCTCATCAGTAGTGTGGGCTACAGAAGAGAGGGCTGCATTCTGCTATCTGACATAAGTGATTTCTTCACGCAGGACAGTGCAGATGATCTATTCGGTTGATGGAATACCCACAAATAATATGTGGAATAAGTTGCAAATATAGATTTTTTTTTTTAATTTATTCCCAGTCTGTGCCTTTTGCAGTCAGATCAGGACTGAAGCAAGGCAAGCATGATCACAGCTTGAACCCTGTGGATATTCTACCAGTTTCCAGATGGGGAGAAGAGCAACATTTTGGTGATGTTCAGGGGGTCTCTCTACAGCGAACTGGGTGAACAAGTGGGCAGGTGGGCCCTAACAAGTAGCCATTGTTGCTGAGACTTTCAATACTGGTGACATCCTCACTGGGTTATCACAACTGAACAATGGGCTGATCGAGCTCTGTTTGTGCTGTGGTGCTCCCACCAGTCTAGACAGCGAAACCAAGCTGGGCAGTGACAACTGCTCGTAGTGTCTCTTCTGGGGTTTCATGCACGTTCTTTCAGTAGCACAGGCGAGTTTGTAACAAAATGCCATAATGCATGATCCTCTTTTTTTTTTTTTTTAAGGAGAGTTTTGAAAGACAGGACCATTAACAATAGAATTTTTTATTTTTATTAACCAAGCCTACATTGTGGGCTGAACTCAAAGAGGTATGCGTCTACCTAATGACTACCCCACCTTCCCAGGTGCTGTTGCATAACAGGTATGATGAGGCTCTGAGCAACCTGATCTAGTCAGAGGTGTCCCTGCTCACTGTAGGGTGGTTGGACTAGATGACTTTTAAAGGTCCCTTCCAGCCAGGTTAAGAAGTACTATGCTTCACATCAAAGCATCTTCATAAAGAAAGACAGTCCTTGTTGCAGGGGACTTGACTACAAAGAGAGTGGAAGGTCCTCTACACAGGCTAGACCCACTCCTACACTGAAAGAGTTATCAAAGGCTGGAACAGCTTGTCCAGTGAAGTGGTTGAATTGCCACCCTTGGATGTATTTCGAAGCCGTCTAGATATGGTGCTCAGGGACATGGTTTAGAAGTGGGCCTGGCAAAGTTAGATTAACAGTCGGACTTGATGATCTCAAAGGTCTTTTCCAACCTATGATTCTAGGCTAAGTAGATTTGGTTCTCTGAGTTACAAGGTTGTAAAAGAACAGAAGCAGGCTATGAGCATCCTTCATTTCAGGGCTGAGTAACTGACAAATCCTGACCAAGAGCAGCAGTTTCACAGAAAAACAGTCTGTTATTTCTTGCCATTAATGATATGGATATTAGCATATCACAGTATATATTCAGAGCAACACACTTAACACTGTGCAATAATAAGAGACTACCTGAAAATTTCAGACATAGTAGACAAACACTGCTCTCAGTATAAAGGAAATGCAATGGTGAAACAATAGAAATTTTTACATATGGTAATGTCATGTGAAAAACTTAGGAGAAAGCACTCAAAACCACTGAAATGCAGAAGTAACAATATATAAGCATTACTATGTACATGTATACTGTTTGCTGTCACATAAATGCTTCCTACTTGTATTTGCCAGGGCTTTCTTTTCTTTATACAAGATTTACAAATCCTTTTCTGTCCTGCAATGTCCCCAAAATGTCTGTTTGTTGCTACTTTTTTTCCCCTTAAGTTTCCTTTCTCTTGGCTACTCAGATCTATAAATCGTTGTGGCAGAAAAGCCATTACGTCAGATTCAATTCTGGGGTGAACTGATGGTTCTGTGTTGATTTCAAGGGAGCTATATTTATTTATGTTGATAGAGAATTTGTTATTTTGTTTAACTAATTGCATTCTGCAGTCTCCAGGTGAGTAATTCACACAATTTCCCATCTGAGGGCACTGATTCTATCTCTCCTGAGCAATGGCAATGGAGCTGACAAAACAGATGGCTGTTTTTAGATTCTCCTCCTATTTAGACCACAACTTACAGCCATTAGGGCATGTAGCAAACAAGACAAATGCTTTACTTTCAACCTGTTGCTAGTGCCATACAGCTTAAAACCAAAAGTTTGTAATTCCTGGATGCATCAATGTGTGGAAACCTGCATCACACACATGCATATGTCATGACGCATGTGATGAACATGAATCTCCAACTGAAATAGTAATAAATTAATAATGCTCATATGGGTAATTATTGCTATACAAGAAATTTGTTCTGACCTTGATAGCCACTTGAAGAGGGTTGGGATCCCCTGCAATGCCTACCACACTTCCCTCATAAACCTCACCAAAAGCGCCGTGTCCTAGTGCCCTGGAAGAAAAAAAAGAGAGCAAATGTTGCTGTGTCCCTGGATCCAGCGCTGGCCTGCTCTATCCTAGGGCCCTACCACCAAGTGCGGCAATAGCAAGGCAAGGAAGAACTGGAGAACAAGAGAAGGCAGCTGCAAGCTGATGTGAGGAGATGGTGTAAGACAACACGTAAGAATGATCAAGTGTTTCCTTCTAAAGTCTACATGACTTTGATCAATATCTGGATGGTATGGAGCCAATGAACAACTTAGCATGTGTTTCCTTGTGACAGGAAATGCTGGAAGAGAAATACTGCTATTGACTTGGAAGGGAGTTGCTGCCAGAATGCAGGTGTCATCCAGGACATCATACAAAAACACAGAGGAGAAAGACCCTATGGTGTGTGTGGGAACAGAGAACAGGAGACTCATGAACTTACGCTTCTGCTTGAGAACCCTGTGGAATCAAAATGTCTTGCAGAACACAGTAAGTGTCATATCTATCGTATTTTGGATGGCTTGGACTAGCTGCTTTCCAGTTAGTCAGACATGTGGCCCTTGTTTTCTTGTCCTGGATATTTGATGGGCTTTGAGTAACCTGTTCTAGCGGGAGGTGACCCTGCCCATGGCAGGGGGGGTGGAACTAGATGACCTTTAACGTCCCTTCCTACCCAAACCATTCTGTGATTTTACGATGAGTAAAACAAACACGTGAGCCCTACCTCTGCCTTTGCTTCAGGCTGCCTTTCCTCTCCTGTGCCAGAGAGAAACCCCTGCAGCAAGTCTTACCGAAGCAGAGTGATGTTCTTCCGTGGGATCTCCTTCAGCTCACTCAGAGTGGCGGCCTTCCCCGCAAAGCAGTAGTTGGGGTTGTAATCTGTCATGATGGCTGATGTGCGGATTTTGCTCAGTTTATATTCTGGGCTCTGCAGTCGTGCTCTGGCTCCTTCCAGCTGCTGCTTCTTAAGGTGATAAACTACAGGTGGGGAGGTAAATAAATATGCACAAACAAGATCAACATGTGGAGACAAAAGACAATGCTGGGCACACAGAAGAGAAAGAAACCAACACCATAATTATAAATGTTCAAGAAGCATCTTTAGCTCACCAGTACCGCACTCTTCTCTGCGCTCTGGAGTGATTTAATACTGGATATGCAAACAAACTTACTCCTGCAGAGTCCTAATCACCTAGGAGCAACTCAAGATTTCCTCTGCTTCTTTGTACACTGACTGAGGAAAGAGTGCTTTTGCTGTCACTGAGCGCCCAAAAAGCATACCATCTCCCTGAATTAATTATATGTTTAATTACACACTGCGATTTCAGCTTGTATGGGGTGGCTGTTAAAGAAACACCTGATAAGAGGCTCTTCCAAGTTCTTTTCTCCATAAAAAATAGTAAGACAGAGCAGTCCTTACCATGTGAGACTATGCTTATGCCTTACTGTGAGATTGTGATGTTTTCTATCACTTCTTTCCCATTGTCCCTCTGATCCACTTGGGAGACCACAATACTCTGTCTCCAAGTATTAAAGATAGTATTAGTAGTAGTGGCATGTGGTTGGCTGGTCTCCTTTTTTCTAAATTAACTAGGAAAAAAAGTCAAAGAGTGATAAGGAGTAGAAGTTTCTTACTGATAGACAGGCTGCCACAAGTAAGGATCATTCCAAGCACCACAATCACAGCCACTACAGCTAGGAGGAGTGGGAGAGGCAGCTGCCTCTCTGGCAGAGGACCCTTGGGCACTGGAAGAAGAAAAAGAGGTGCATTAATCAGAAATCAACAGATCTGGTTGGCATCCCTCTGAAGGTTGCTCCTGTTTCAGAAAACAATACAGAGATCATGGCCAGACCATCTCATAAATTGCAGCAGATCCCTCTACTGCCCTGGAGGTTGAAAAAATACCTAATGAATTTAGAAAGCACTGTGAAGATAGAAAACTAACTGATAAAACACAGATTTCACATCCATTCTTCAGTTTTTTTAAATGAGTAACGCCACTGCTCACAAGGTGAAACTCTCTACAGTCTTAATGCTTTGGAGTTCCAAGAGTCTGTGTCAGGAGATACCAGTGAATACCAGACACAAGCTGAACAGGTGTAGTAGGAAACTGCTGTGGAATGAAGCAGTTTGTGGCTTAAATAACTCAGCAGGAGGTGCTATCTTATACCACCATCTTATACATGTAAATATGTGATACAATGTGCCCATTCAGGGATTTTACACTGCATCCCTTTACAGATATTTTACCTTCTACCTAACCCAAACCTGAACTTTGGAGATGGTGACGGAGACACACCTCAGCGTGTAAGGACAGGTCATCAGGAGTTTTCAGTCACATGTCTGACTTTTCATAACTCTGTGTTCACTGCAGCCACTAGCTGTAACCTGGGCAACTGACAATCAAAAAAGCCAGGAGGAGAGATGACGCAAAGAATACAGGTGATATTCAAAGAGAATAAGACTTTACATCTTACCAGTGCAGGTGACGTTGTCATCGGCTAACACAGCCCCCATCTCACACTGGCAGACTGGCAGGTTGGTGTCAGGGTCCCGCTTACAGTTGTCTGAGTGGCAGTGGCTGCAGTTAAGATAGATTTGAACCTCCACCTCACCGTGACTCTCCATGGCTGAACAACGAATCAGACACAACAGGTGGGCTTAGTTCCGTTTTCTCCATCTTGTTCCACTAAGGAAGAAATAACCCCAAACCCAGAAGGCACCTACAACTTCTCTGCTTCTCTGCAGGAGAGCAGGCAGTCTGACAGAAGTGGACACATTAGAAATCTGATGGGTGCCAGGAGGGAAGAAGGTATTGTTGGGTCCCTCAATCAAACAGAGGTCTCAAAACGAATTGACCTAGAAATGCCTGGGACTGACAATGTGCAGGTGAACATGATGGCTGGTGTCTCTCTTGGCTTAGAGATTGAGAGGTAAAAGGTCCCAGAGCACCACAGAAATATTTAAAGAAATGACCACAGCTAAACATCTGACCTGCAGAGTGAAACATTCATGAATGAAATGCATAAAAGCAAAGGCAGGAGGAGTGGGAGCAGGAAAGAGGAAATACAGAGGAAGAAGTAAGAAGGAGAAAGAAAAGAACTAAGAGGCATAAGAAATATCTTGTACCTGCCAGGGGATGCAAGAAGATCTCTCCAATGGGGTTCACAAAAGAGATGCCATCCTGCCCACCAGCTGTGATATCATCATTGTCAGAGGCATGTCCCCCTGGCGAAAGAAGAGCATGGCTAGCTGATCAGCACTGCATGCTGCAAAAGAATGCAACACCTCTGAAGTGTCAGCATTTGTTCCTGGCTCTTATCACCTGGGCTCACTCTGCAACCTTCCAGTAATATTAATATGTATAATGGCCTTGATGGATAAACGCTCCTTTGACCCAGCCAGTACCAAGGTTAGTGAAGCGACTTATTCCGGTGTAGGTTTCTCAGTTCAGCAAGGTAAAAATATATTTGCTTTAAACAGAAAAAAGAAGTGGGACACCTTCCCTGGGCAGCTTGGGAACGGGCAAAAAGGTCATTCAGCACACCTTCCCAATACTAAATCATGTAGGAACACTTCTATAACCTTGATTTCCTCAATTAAAGAGAGATGCTGGAGAGTAGGGCAGATTTCATACGGTTCAGCTTGAAGTATCTGTGAATCACCTTCTGCAGCAGCGCACCTCTGCACTAAGAGCTCTAGCCCTTAACTGCAGGTGCTTGGAAGGGTACAAAATTAGACATCGTGACTATTCATCCAGCAAACTTACCTCTGTAGCCTCCACCTCCTCCACCAGAAGTACAAGCACCTCCTCCCCCACCAAAGCCACCAGAGGTGGCCCACTGGAGCTTGGCTAGTGCTTGGGGACAAGCTTGACCACCTTCCCCACCTTCCAGAAGGGACTTCCCAGCCTGAGGAAGCAGGCTTTCATCTTGCCAGCCACCACCTCCACCTTCAATTAAAGAGTGAGAAAACAAAATAAGAACAGGTGAGAGAAGAACAGGCAGAGGGAAGCAGGAGAGATACTGCAGGGAGGCAGAGATCAGCCCTTATAAATTTCTTAAGTGCCTGCATTCAAGTTAACTCATTCTAAACCTTAAAAGGTTAGGGGAATATACAGACAAACTCCGTCTTACCATGGGTAATAACTAAGTGGAAATCTAATGCACAGCCTGTGGTATGTGCTGCATTACCGGTGCCTTAGCACCACCTTCTAGTGGCATTAGGGAAATAAGGAGCCCACCACTTCCCTTTGGCTAACTGGTTAGGGCTTTCAGCCGTGTGAGATGCTGAGTTGCCCAGGGAAATAAAAATAAACTGCATTTCCTCATCTCCCTCTAGTGGCCCCTCTATAAGGCCATTACAGCAGGAAATAATGGGCCACTGACATTTTTTCTCTTTGGGATGGATTCTAGGCACAGCTGTTAAAAGATTATAAGCTTCAATTTCTAGTATAATTCCCATAACATAATTCTTCTTGTTAGAGTTTCATGGAAGTAACAGTGAAAAAGTCTTCTCTTCAAAGGCCATTCATAGGGTGTGGAGGAGTGGGCTCCATTCCCTAGACATCGTTTTCACTGAGTCACTTCATAGAAGAGAGAGAGGAGTCCTCCTATGGAATAGCCTCTACTTATCACCTGTCCTACGCATTCTCTTTCATCTGGTGACACATCACATAAGACAACATTTGTTATCGACCACCAGCATATTTCTAACAACTACCGCCACAGAAAAATTCCAAAAGGTCAAAAAGAAGCCCCTCACTGCAGGACAACATGTGGATTCAGCCATCTGATTCAGATCTTGTGTGGTTTTATTGTCTCACCTGCTGCCCCAGTCCTCCCACTGACTCCAGGCACTGCGGTGCTGTTCTCAAATTGCTCCAGGGGTACATCATCCAGGGAGTTGTCCTGAGCCTTCAGGTAAGCTTTTCCTCCTCCTCCTGCTGCGATGAGCAAAGGTTCGAAAATCCCATCCTTCTGCTGGAAAACCCCCCATCAAACATCAGAAAAACTTCACATCCCTTGGATATGTGAACTCACATAAACTCATCAAAAAGCACGAAAGCATCCCAAAGAAGAGTGGCCCAAGGTTAGGGCAATGCTACGGATGGTTTCCTAAGTTCATTACAAAGATGTTTTACATCATGTTCCTGTCTACAAAAGTAACTGTCTACCTGAACACCAAGGTTCTGGGATTTGTTTTAATTTTTTTTTTAAATATTTTTTTAAGGACTGCTGCCAGTGTTAAAGTGGGATCCTGGTGTGATTCCCAGACTGGAGCTGTCAAGAACTGAGGAACCAGTTCAACTCGCTTAGTGACAAGTAAGATCAAGGTTACAAAAAGAGATAAAGAATTTAAATTGAAAATACAAAAGAGCAAGGAGAGACAGAAGAAGGAGCGAAGGAGGGAGGGAAGGAGGGAGGGAGGGAGGGAGAAGAGTGAGAGAGGGAGATTCCTTTTTCATCATCTTTTTTAAGGATTAAGCATCATATGCCATGATGCCATATGACAGTGAAAGTTAGTAGCTCTGCTGGACACTGCTTAGGCAGGAGGTAAAGAGGAAATACTTACTCTAAAGACATAGGTTGCTCCTCCTCCACCCCCACCTCCTCCAGCCCAGTCCTTCAGGTCCTTTTTTTTTTTGTAATCTTCTTCAATGAGAGATGATTCCCCTAAGCAGATCTTCTGGGTTTCGGGATTGCCCTGGAAAGAGACAAGAGATGCACTCAGATAATCAGCAAAGTCTAACTCTTGAGAGTTGTCTGTGTATTTCAGTATAATAATATTGTATTGTCTGTGATGAATATCAGGCATCTATAAATCAGTATATATATGTGTGTGTATATATATATAT